AACAGGAAATTAAATTTACTTTTACAAATAAAGCTTTTTGGGAGATTTAATTTTTTTTTTTTTTTTTTTTTTTTAGTATAGGCAAGGTCCTAGTCCTAATCCCAGCACCATGAAGGAAGGAAGGGAGGGAGGGAATAATGAGTAAGGGAGAGAAAGAGAAAGAAAGGGAGGGAGGGAGGATGGACAGACAGACAGATTGACTGAAAAGCTTTATATCTTATTACTTTTTTTTTTTTTGAGACAGTGTCACAATGTAGCCTTAGCTGTCCTGAAACTCACTGTGTAGTCCCGCTGGCCTTGAACTCAGAGACCTCCTGCCTCTACCTCCCAAGTGCTGGGATGAAAGCTGTGAGCACCACACTCAGCCTTCCACCAAAGCTTCTTGTTTACAATAGCTTCTAGGCATCTTTTTCAGTGTTTTTCCACAGAGACCCAAGACTTTGTGTTAGCTGGCATGTATGTCATGCTATTGCTGTTTTTAGGCCTATGGCTGATTTTAGACCTTCAGTGTATAATCAGGGCTGCCCCTGACAACCAGGCATCTTTAGCACGACACTGAACAGGCCACACCACGGAATTATGGCAAATTCTATCCAAGTACTTCCTTTATTATCAATTAATCAATTAATTAATTCCCTTCAGCCACCTATGTCCTTTCTTTATTATTGATCAATCAATTAATTAAATCCTGACAGAAGTTTCCCTTCCCACTCCTCCCCCTACCTCCCTCCCCCCATCTCCTCCTCTTCAGAAAAGAGCAGACGTCCTATGAGGCCATGGCCTATCAAGTTGCAGCAAGACTCCTCTCCTAGGCCAGGCCCATGTGAGCCCAGGTTGCTTGAGTCTGTGCGTTTTCTTGTGGTGTCCTGAGCCCTCTGGCTCTTAAAGCCATTTCTCCCCCTCCTCCTAAGGATTCCCCGAGCGCCATCTAGTGTTCGGGAGTGAGTCCCTGCATCTGTTTCCATCAGTAGATGTATGAAGCCTGTCTGCTGACAGTTGGGTTAGGCACCAATCTATGAGTATAGCAGAGTGTCATTAGGAATCGTTTCATTGATGGTTGCTTGCTTGCTTGGTTGGTTGGTGTTTTTTGTTTTTGGTTTGTTTTTGTTTTTGTTTTGCCAGTCATGTTTGGTTCTATCCCAGGTCTCTAGGCTACCCAGCCTCTGGGTCCTGGCCCTCGAGACAGTGTTAGGGGTAGGCTCCTTTTCTTAAACTCTTTGATTGCCAACTGTGTATAGAGAGATTCTGAATGATTTGTAGGAGGTCCATACAGAGCAGGATTTCTGGAGTGAAGTAGGTCTGCTTTTTGAATGTCATGTTGTGGGAAGTAGGAATTCTGTTTCAGGTGAGTACAAACCCTTTATTCCAAACTATTGGGGAAACAAAACAAAACAAAAAAACAAAGAACACATCCTAAGTATTGTGCATCCAAGAGTTCTGCCTCTTGGCTGGCTTCCCCTGTGCTCAGCCCCACTGTACTCTGTTCCTCATGTACGTGCCGTGGGAGCCAGAAAATACTTACCAAAAAAAGAAAGACCCAGAGAAGACACCCAAAAAGAGACTGAGAGGAGCTACCACTGGAAGAGCACCCCTCCTTCTTGGTGGACACTGGGGAAGAGTGGGGAGAGGGTGTGGAACAGGGGCTTGAAAATGAGTTTTGTTGGTAAAGAAGCAGAAGGCAGAGTCGAAGCCCTGGGAAGGGCAGTCACCGAAGACTGACCTCCGACTCATACCCAGCCTCTGCCCTCCTTACAAAGGAAACAAGGTGGGCCCTCTCGTGAGCCTGAGGTAAGGCTCCAGGGAGGGCAAAGATCCCCAAGAAGGAAGGTAGGAGCTGATTGCTGCCACACCAAGACCAGCTGTGCTATTCCAGGGGATGTTCTCAGTCTGTCATACTCGAAACATCATTTGATAAGAGTTGGTTTCTTGAATTACAGATGCAAAATTAAAGCTCAGAGATACACTTAACGTTAATGCCGACCTAGGGCTCACCCTTCTCACTGCCATTTTGTGTGTGCGTGCCAGAGAGGGTGTTAGACACCTTCTGTCCCTCTATCGGATGTCAGCTTCACTCTGTACCCCATCCCCAGCGTTGAGGTTACAGGTGTATGAACCTCACCCACCCAGTTGTTTACCTGGGTGTTGGGGATCCAAACTCAGGTCTTCATGCTAAACGGCTAGGCAGGTAAGAGCGCTTGCTGCCAAGCCCGATGACCTGGGTTCAATCTCTGGAACCCATACAGTGGAGGGGGAAAAAACTCCTGCAAGCTATCTTGATCTAACATATGTGAACACACACATGCACACACACAATAAATAAATAAATAAATAAATAAATAAATAAATAAATAAATAAATAAATGTATTTTAAACTGAATCTTAACTCCTAAGCTAGAATTGTATTTCAGTAGTAGAATTTTACCTGGCACACAGTTGGGACTCCTGCAGTCCTACTCAGAGGCCAAAGCAGACCATTTAAGTCCAGGAGTTCAAGACCAGCCTGAGAAAATAGCAAAACTCTCTGTGAAGACAAGAATAAAGCTTTCCTGTGGTAGGTAAATTCACTACAGCAAATTTTTCACAGAGAAATGTCTAATGGGGAAAAATAATGAAGGATCTCTGAGGCCCCTCCCTTTTGTTTTTACATTTTCTAGAAGTAAAAGGATTGTCCATTAAATATCTTTCATTAAAACTAATTTCTACTTTCTGTCCCTTGCTTTTTAAGATTTTTGTAAATTTATTTTTTTATTCTATATGTGTGTGATGCATATGTCTGATTGCTCAAGTGTGTGATCACGTGTGAGTGCAGACATGCGCACACCGACGGCATGTGAAGGCTGCTCTGGGTCAGTTCTCTCCTGGGTGGGATCTGAGTCAAACTTGGTTGTAAAGCCTGGACAGCGGGCACTTTTGCCTACAGAGCCGTTCACAAGCCTCATTCTTGCTTTAAAACTTAACGGTATGTCTGTCTCTCAGTTTAAACAAGACACTTGTAAAAATCACTTCCCATTGTTTTATATGAAGGAATTGTTTAATTTTTTTTCTTAAAAATTTTATTTAAAACCTATTTCTTAGCATATTTGTATCTATAAAACAATTTATATTCCTTTCTTTATTGAGAGGACATGCTTATACCACAGTGTTTGTGTGTGTGTGTGTGTCGGAGGACAACTGGAAGGAGTACGTCTCTCTTTCCAAGGACAAACTCAGGTAGTTGTCAGGGTTGGTGGCAGGCGTTCTTACCCACTGAGAGACATCCTGCCAGTCCTGTACTTAGCATTTTAATGTCACTAAAATACTTTCTCAGAATAAGAGTATCTAAAATACGTATTTCCTATAAAAAGAATAAATTGCTAACTTATTGATTTTTTTAAGATAATGGTTTCTATAGACCCACTTTCAGAGAAGCCCAGTTGAAGACTATTTGTCTAGAGTCATTTGCTCCTAAAAGCTCTATATCATAAAAAGCACTAATGGAATCCATAATTATCCCAGATTGCTGCTGGAACGGGAAATCATGTTAAGTACTTTCTGCTGTTGATCAGATAAATGATGTTACAGGGAGTCCTAGCTTATAGCTAGGACTGACATCCACAGTGCTGGGTCCACGGTGCTCATCCATGTCATCATCTATAGCATGAAGCATAGATGTCATCATCTATAGCATGAAGCATAGGACTGACATCCACAGAGCTGAGTCCACGGTGCTCACCCATGTCATCATCTATAGCATGAAGCAAGCAGGCACCTGCTCCCACTGGGCTGGAATGTGCACAAGTGAGCAGCTACCTCCCCTCCTGCCTCTTCAAACTCACACACACACACATGCACACGCACGCTTTAGAAGCTTCTGATCCTAAATAAAAAGCCAGTGCTTTGGTTTTAAGTAAGAGATGGGGCACAGGAAGGAGAGAGGTGGGTAGCCTGTGTGAAAATCAGAAGGCTGCAGTAACATGGGTGGTGGAGGCCGAAGAAGTATCTGGTGTTTTTCTGCAAAGCACCAAACTGTAAATACTTTTAGGCTTTATGGTCAGTTCTGCCTTAAAGCCCCCCAAAGCTATATAAAACTTGGGTAGTTTCCAGTTAAATTTGCAAAAACAGTGAAGTGAAGCTAGGAATGGTAGCAAGCCGGAGACTTAGAGAAGATCCCAAGTTCAAGGACAACCTGGGCTATAGCAAGTTCCTAGCTTTCTAGAGCTATGACAACAGCCTGTATTGGGTTGGGGGTGGGGGGAGGAACTAGGGGTCTGTGGGCTATTTAGTTTACTATCTTCTGCATACAAAATGAGTCATAGAAGGCTGAGAGAAATTCTAGAACAAAACTCCCCAAAAGATTTTGAATATAAATTACTTAGTAGCCAGGCAGTGGTGGTGTACACCTTTAATCCCAGCACTTGGGAGGCAGAGGCAGGCAGATTTCTGAGTTCGAGAGTTTGAGGCTAACCTGGTCTACAGAGTTAGTTCCAGGACAGCCAGGGCTACACAGAGAAACCCTGTCTCGAAAAACAAAACAAAAAAAAAAGATTACTTAGTAATGTGTACTTTCTCTGAGGTACTAAGGTAACTCACTCAATGTTAAGTTAAGCTTGCTGCCATGTCTTAAATGCTGTCACTAAGCTAGACATCATAGCTCATGTATGTAATTCCAGACTCCTGCTAAGACAGGAAAATTGCCATGAATTCAAGACTAGCCTGGACAAGATCCTAGCTCGGAGGGAAGAAGGGAGAGAGGGAGGGAGGGAGG